TTGAGTTTGGAATTTATCCAGAGGACAGTGAAGAGCTAGCAAAGAATTTTAAGCCTAGTATAAAGTGATCAGATGTGTGCTTTGGAGAGTTTACTCTGACTGCAGGGTGGATGATGTTTTGGCAAGACTGGAGGCACAAAGAGACTGTTATCCAAGCTAGGGATGAGGTTGGCCTTATCACCTGAAAACACAAGTACATATTTTTAGGTACTTTGATTAAAGAATATTTTGATAGCACAAATTGTTTAAAAATCCAAACAGAACATCTCACACGTGTGGGCTTTAGTGAGCGAATGTAAGATCAAAATTTCTCTGGCTAGTTTTTTAAAATTAAGAGATTCGCTGATATTAAATGGCTTAAACTTCACTGACATTTTAATTTCTGTTCTATGATTTATGAAAGTTTGAATCTTTCTGGGGAAAAAAATGTTTAAAGCCTATTTGAAAATCACTAGAAGAAAATTTTGAATGCCAATGAAATTTTAGGTGAATTGATGTAAAGAAGGTGGAGTTTTGCCTCATTGTCTTGCTCTCATTGGATGCAGTAACACTTTGGTGATGTTGTTGTTTGCCGTAGGGTATCACACTCGCTTCTAGCCAGGCCGTCAGCAATGCCAGGAACGTGGAGTGGCCACTCAGTGAAGTTGCAGAAGGTGTTTTTGAAACCGAGGCCCCAGGAGGATATAAGTTCTATTTGCAGAATCGAGATCTCCCTCAGTCAGGTAATTATACTGGGACTAGTACAAGCTCTGTCTAAAGGCATTCTTGATGGAAGAACAGAGGGAGCTAGATTTTTTTCTCCTGTAGAGTCTTTTTGTATTGAAATGACATGTCTTTCCCATGCCAGTGTTTTTATCTGTTCTCTGAGAAATGATATTCTCATCTTGGAACTTTGCTGCATAACACAGGGCATCTAGACAGTTCTGCTGGTAATGTATCTATTTAGGGTACTTTCAACTATAAATCACGGAAAACCCAACTCAACTAGTTTAAACAGTAAGAAAATTTATTAGCTCACAGATCAGGAATTCTCTGGTAGTGAAGGTTTCAAGGTTAGTTGACTCCTCAGTGTCCTTAAGAGCCCTTATTTTCTGTCTGTCTACATTCCTAGAGCTAGTTCCTTGTGGTTGTAGGAGGACTGCCAGCAGCAGTTAGCGCTATGTGCTCTCACATTCACATCTGGTAGGAGAGAGAGAGACTGACTTTGTGTTGTCTCTTTTTAAAAGCGAGCACAACTTTCCTAGAATCTGCTACCAGACTTCCAGGTGAGATTTGATTCACTTTCCTGCTTCTGAACCAATCCCTGGTTAAGAGAACTCGGATTCTCCTTAGACCAGGCAGTCACACCCCTGGAGCTGAGGTCAGTTTCCCAAACGACAGTGCTGGTACTCAGTGAGTGAGAGATGGAGTGGAAGTCAGGAGGCCCCACTGGCTGCCACAGGTGACAGGAAACTTGGCATTGCATGTTTTATTTACTGCAGAGTCATCCTCATCATAGGTGTATTTCATTCCTGCAAATTCTACTGCCAGCCCTGCCAAAACAAAAACAAAAGCAAAAAGAAAAGACAAAAATACTGGTGAATAGCAAGGGCAATTCTGCCTGCTGTCTTCCTCAGTGCACATATGCCCCTGAGTGGATCCGCAATGGGAGATGCATATTCTCTTTCCTTCACTGGTTGGCCTCAGGCCCCAAATGTTCCTCATGCTGAGTCTGACTTATTGCTACATCTTTTTCATCTGATGCTCAGCAAAATAAACAGCAGTCCATTCCAGAGTGGGAGCTATGTGGGACTTACTGAGAGGTGGTATTTCTGTAGTTTGCCAGCGATTTAAGGGATTTTTATGGTTATTTTTGTTGATAGCTAATCGTTGCTTTACATATTGACTTTAAGACTTAACTCCTACACCTAAGTCCACTGTATTTTTTTTTCCCCTAGTTTTAATACTTAAAATAGGAGGAGGGGATGGGAGTTACTGCTTAAGGGGTACTACTGAGTTTTTGTTTGGGGTGTGAAAAACTTTTGGAAACAGATGATGGTGATGGTTGCAAAACATGGTGAATGGAATTAATGTCATTGAATTGTACACTTAAAAATGGCAAATTTTTTGTTATATATATTTTACCACAGTAAATTTTTTTAAAAATACTTAAAACAATCTTGTGTAAGAGTGTTATCCTTTGGAATGACAGTACCCTTTGGGCACTAATCTCTTAATAATAATCTAGGCAAGTCTGTCATTCTAGCTGGCATCTATTCTTCCTTTGAATCCTTCGCTCCGGTGTTGTTTTTGAAAGAAATGGGGAAAACTAAACTTGAGGCTGCCAGACGGAGGCACCTGTGAGGGATACCTCGCCTCAGTCATGGCACTGCTGTTCCAGCCAACAGACCAAGGCGGTGAAAACTTAAAAAACAAATAGAATGAATTTATCAAATTGTCAGATGTAAACTTGGATCAGGTCTTCAGAAAGTCCCTTTACAATATAAAAAGTTTCCGAGAATGTTAAATGTTTTTAATATAACTTTTATTCTTTTTGGAGCCCTGGTGGCACAGTGGTTGAGAGCTCAGCTTCTCACCAAAAGGTTGGCAGTTTGAATCTACTGGCCTTGGAAACCCTATGGGGCAGTTCTGCTCTGTCCTATAGGGTTGCTATGAGTCAGAATCACCAGTTGTTCTAGTGTCATTTATTGAATAATGTGCCCTTTCCTACTGGTTTAAAGTCCCCTTCTTGTCATAAACTAAATTCTTACATATACTTGAGTGTATTTTTGGACTTTCTATTCTACCTCATTGAACTATCTTGTCTACTCCTGCTGTCTTATTACCCTACAGATCCTGTATTAAAAGTAACTCTAGCAGTGTCTGATCTTCAGAAGTCCTTGAACTACTGGTCTAATCTACTGGGAATGAAAATTTATGAAAAAGATGAACAGAAGCAAAGGGCTTTGCTGGGCTATGCTGACAACCAAGTGAGCGATCTCATAGAGAAATAACCTGTTAATTTTGAGTTTGACAAGGATCCCTGCTGGTACAGTGGTTAAGCGCTCAGCTGCCAACTGAAGGGTGGGTGGTTCTAAGCCACCAGCCAGCCGCTCCTTGGGAGAAAGGTGTGGCAGCCTGCTTCTGTAAAGATGTATAGCCTTGGAAACCCTATGGCACAGTTCTACTCTGTCCTACAGGGTCACTAGGAGTTGGAATTGACTAAGTGGCATTGGGTTTTGAGTTTGACTTATAAGTAAGGTTAATATGAAAGTTGTTCCCATAGTTTCTTCACAGTGACTCCATATTTATACAGATAAACAGAAAGAAGAAAATAAAAATTTCTGATAACCTCACCACCCAGATATTACCATTATTTATATTTGGGAATATATCCTTTCAGAAGTTGAATTGCTGAGTCAGATTCAGACAAAATTTAATGCTGTAGTGATGACTTCATCTTTTTTTGAAAAAAATAACCTAGCATTTGAGCATAATTTAGTCTTTGCACTTTGACCCAGCAGTTCTGCTCGTAGAAATTTATTCTATGGATGTACACAAAGAAGTGTGTATAAAGGTTATCTGTTGCAGCATCATTTGTAATAACAAAGTATTAGAAACAACCTAAATATCGTGTGGATTAGAGAAGTAGAAAAATAATTTATGGTTCATTCATAGAATGGACTATTACGCTGGTGTCAGAAAGAATGAGGCAAGTCCTTATGCACCGATATGGTAATATTAAGTGGAGAAAAAGGACAGAATAATGTGTAGATGATGCTTCGTGTGTGTCTGTGTGTTTGAGAGAGAGAGAGAGAATATAAATGTGTCTGGAAGGATACACAAGCTGTTAACTGGTTGCCTCTGGGGTGCGAGTAGGAGGGAGATTTAGTGCTTACTTTACTCCTTTAGTACTGCTTGTATTCTTTTACCACATGCATGTATAACCTGTCCCAAAATATAAAGTAAAAAAATAAGCACACTTTCTTATTTCTTTTCAGTGTAAGCTGGAGCTACAGGGTATCAAGGGTACAGTTGATCATGCAGCAGCTTTTGGAAGAATTGCCTTTTCTTGCCCGAAAAAAGAGGTAATGTTTGGCACCAGATCTTTTGTTTAAGTTCTGTGACTAGCTAGTTCACCCCAGCTCAGAGCCTTGGCCCCCCGCTTCTTCAGGTTCATTCTGATTGTGACTTTGGTATCAAGTTCAGTGGTTGTCCCAAGAGTCACTGAGATAATAAAATCAAACAAGTGGCGCCTTGGTTCTTTCTGTTGAGCTCATACTCCTTCAGGGCTAATGAGGACCATGCCTAACGCTTAGTCACTTTGCTTTTTTGTTTTCCTCAAGTTGCCAGACATAGAAGACTTGATGAAGAGGGAGAACCAGAAGATTCTGACGCCCCTGGTCAGCTTGGATACCCCAGGAAAAGCAACAGTACAAGTGGTCATTCTGGCTGACCCTGTAAGGATTACTCCTGAAGGGTACAGGCTGCCCTGGGAGTTCCTTTCTGAGGTGTCTTTTGCCAAATTTCTTTTCTCTGTTGGTATAGGATGGACATGAAATTTGCTTTGTGGGGGATGAAGCATTTCGAGAACTTTCCAAGATGGATCCAGAGGGAAGCAAATTGTTGGATGAGGTAAGTCTCATTGCCAAATTTACACCAGGAAAGGGCCAAAGCATAGACTCTAGGTTCTCATTGTCAGATCCATGTGCTTTTGCTGTTGGGGTGACTTTTGAGCCAGTGACCTATGTCTCCATTGCCACCTATATGATCCCTTATCTGGGCTCAGCATTTGTGCCTTCCCACTACATCAGGCTGCACTGGGGAACCACTGCCCCATATATACCATTATTCTGCCCAGTGAATGGAAGTGCCTGGATGCCATCCCCCTCACTTCCTTAGCTCCTTCGGTTATCTCTTTTCCATTCTGCAGCATCACTCTCTCCCTTTCTAGTGAGTTGTTCTCATCAGCATACAAACAAGCTCCCAATATCTCCTCATCTTTTAAAAACCTGTTACTGACTTCACGTCCCTTTTCCATTCACCTTTATAGCCAGATTTCTCAAAAAAAAAAAACCTGTCTTCGCACCTCTGTTTCTACTTCTTGCCTCCCCTTTACGTTTCATCCTTTTCTACTGGCTCCTACCACTCAGTGCAATGGCTCTTGTAAAGTCATGAGTGACATCTCTCTTGCCAAATCCAGTGACTACTTTTCTATTTTCCTCAAACTGAATCTTTTAGCAGCTCTCAAAGCAATTATTATTGTTATCTCCCCAGCTTCTAGCACATATGTAGCATGTAGTAAGCATTCAGTGAATTATTCGTTGAATAATTAAAGGAATGAGTCAATCAGTGAAGCAGTATATCTGTTAACCAATCGTTCAAGCCAGAATCCTCAGAGCCAGTTTTTTGTTTTTGTTTTTTTTTAACATTTAATATACTTCTAAATTTTAGAATAGTTTTAAAGTTACAGAGCCAGTTTCTCCTCACCCTTAAATTCTATTAGCTTTTAGCCACCAAGAGCTGTAACCTCTCCCTCTGAGGTCTTTTGTCTACTTTCCTTTAGAAAAGACCCTCATTATCAACTGTGATACTGCAGCAAAGCATCCTGCTGCTTTCCAGTCAGCCCCTCTCCCTGCTGCCAGCATTAGTTTTCCAGAGCGTAAATCTCGTAATTTTCAAAACTGTTTAATCCTTTGATAGCTCTGTACTGCCTCCAAGATATGTTCCAAACTCTTTGACAGAGCAGCGTTAAGTGTCTGTTCCTTCCCTCCTCTCCAGTCTTCTGTGCTGCCTCTCCTATTTAACTCAGGCCCCATTTTGTAGTAGAAACAGTGAGGTGTTTATATTAACTGAGCTATATCTTCCTGCCTCCACCCAAAGTTTTTTTTTTTTTCTCCCCTCTTCTGCATCTTGTCTTTCAAAATTCAGGAACTTTTCTTGGATTCTCCAAACCAGAGTTAGTTCTTTTCATGGCTCCTAAAAGACAGAAACTTTGCATCTTGGTGGGGGTTTTTTAGTGTATCTTTAATTTTTAAATACTTCTTATTTTCATCAAAATAAAAAAATCAGATAGTACTAAGATTTTATACAAATGAAATACAACATTGTCTTGCTCTGTCTCTGAGTCTCACTGCCAGAGGCAACCATTTTCATCTGTCTCTTCTGGTATTTACTTCACTGTTTTCTAGATAAAATATACATGTATTGCCATTATCTCATTTTCAATTGCAGACATTGTTGACTTCGTGCAGAAAGTAGATAAGTGTTCTGACACTAGTTCTCCAACCCAGTCACTTGCTCCTTTCCTTTCAGTCAGATGTCATTTTGTTCCTGGCTCTAGTTTAGCACATGCCAAAGATGCACACACATACACACTCACACAAAATAGTAGTTTCCACATCTGAGTCCTCAGCTACTCTATATACTTCTCAAAGCTTCAGACTACATCTCTGCTGCACGCCTGCACCCACCATAGTAGCTAGCTCATAGCAGAAACTTTGTCTTTTTTTTTTTTAAGTATATCTGTACTGGCTTTTTGACTGAACAAATGAATGGCTATCCTTACCAAACAGCTGTTTAGCATATGCTTGGTTGTATTGGACAGAAAGTTTTAAGACACTTAGGTTCCAAGCCTAGGCCCTCTGCAAGCCCCTCTCCATGGACTCAACCCTATGGGATAATAGGATAACAGGACTCTTGTGGGAACCTAAACATTATTATTAACAAGGCTTCCTTTTTAATTAAGGGGTCTAAAACTAACCAAACAGTAGTGGAGTGGGGTGAGAGGAGGCTCAAGAGCTAAAAGGTCAAATAGCTTTTCATATTTGGTGTCATCAGACTTAGTCTTCAGGAGTACTGAAGATTCTTGAGAGCCTACCAAGATGCTAAGTGGCACCACTTTCTGTTCTACCAAAAACCCCAAAGCCTGGCATGCTCAGCCCTTGCTGCAGTCAATCAGAGCAGCTTAACTCTTTAAATGTTCATTTCTTCTTTGTGAACAATGCTATCAGGTATAAAGTGGGCTATTTTGTTTCACAGACTTCAAATGAATGTGTATTCCAATTCTCTTTCAATAGGCAATGGCAGCAGATAAAAGTGATGAATGGTTTGCTGAACAAAATAAACCAAAGGCTTCAGGTTAATAGAAGACCTCGTTTGGAACGAGCATTTGTGACTCCTGTCCGGCACCTGTGAGCCTGATGTGTCCGTTCATAATAAATGCCCTACAACTTGGTTGTTTCCTGTACAGGCAAGGAGGCCAGTGTGATTAAGATTTGTGATTTCCCATCTTTGAGAGCTCTAATACATTACAGATATGAAATCCTGTTATTATTGTTCCAAATAGAGGTGAACTCTTGCTGTGATCTACTGTGTCACTGGAATGACACATTCTGTGTGTAACTGTATTAATAAATTATTTTACTGAGATGGGACAGCTATATGGGACATTACCCTTGGTTGAGGATAGAGGAAATTTTGATGAGTTGTGAATCATGTAAAATTTGTGAAAGCGCAACTATTCAAATAAATTCAAAGTAATTGTTTGTGACAGTAATATTCCCTGCACCTGATGAAGAATCATTAATCTTATGCCATTCCAGTGTCTTACTCTGTCAGATCTTTACATTTAAACAATGTTAATGTTCCTTGGACCAAAAGATTTGGTTACTTGACACCCTCATTATCATCCTTGCTATTTTAAATTCTGAGGAAACAGAGAAAACAGACAGGAAGAGTTAATGTGCTGAGTGTTGCCACATTCTGGCTTCGTGTTAGTTTCTTTTAATGTTTTCTTGTAGTTTTCTCTTTGGTTCTTTAGAACAAGTGGATTTTAATCACTGAAAACAGAATTATATTGGTTATATCCATTATTTTTTTGTGTGTATGTGTGCTTCTAATATCAAGCTGTTACACCAGTCTTTGAGACTTTGGGACTCATTATTTACAGTGGTGACAGTTTCAAAATTTTAGGGAAAAAAACTGAAGATAATTGACCCAGAGGATACGAGCTTCAGAATAACATACATAAAATTACTTGTAAGTCATAGCTTCAGCAGTTCTCCCTTGCTGGCGGGGTATCGCATGGAAATTTCTGGGTGAGTTTCAGCTCACCTTGTTATTAGGGTACTCTTACCTTCACCGAGAGAAAAGAATCTTCATCCAGCCCCACAACACTTCTCATTCAACTTTAATTTAAATTCTCTATCTTGGGGAAGCAATCACGAGTTTCAGAGGAAACCAAACCAAGTTATGTATGCTCCTTCTCTAGGTGATTAGTTCACTTTCTGTATACACGGGCAAATTATTTTATATGGATTTTGAATAATCAGATAAACTTCTTGGTGTGCCTTTATACTATGATTTGTGAATTCTCAGATTTTTCTATTGGAGTAAGTAATTCTTGACGTTTATTGCTAGTAATACTGTCCTTGTGGGGTGGGGAGGATAAAACAAATGTTTCCAATGTACTAGGATATTGTGTGATATGGACTTGTAAGTTTGTTAAAATAAGTGGTTTACATAAGTACTGAATGACTAACACATACTAAATTTTTCTTTATCTGACTATTTTGTATTTTAACACACCAAAAATTTTTTTCTCTTAAATATACAGCCACACATGATAGAGGGCATCATGCGTGGTAGAAGTTAATGCTGTTGTCCACTTGGCACGTTTTGGGCTTATGATATCAGCCTCCTTTTATTTAGCTCATTGCCTACCTTTTCTTCCTTTGTTGCAATCTTAATATTTTATTCTTCCTAAAACCATTTAGTGTACAGCTTTGGACTTTTATCAAAGAATGCAGAAGTTTTGACTTCTGCACAGTTCAGCTACTATGAAAGGAATTTTAAAGCAAAAGTTATAATTACTTTCCCACTACTGGGGATGGTATAATCAATTAGAAAAGGTTCTAAGAAGATGGTTTTGCCCAGGCTAGTGTTCTAAACTGATGAAGTTGGAATGCTCTTTAGTTTCTCTAGAGTTAGGTTTTCAGAGTAATGATTTTGTTGTTTTAATTGAGAGGTTTTGAAGTCCTAGTATATTAAGTGTAAGTTCAAACGTGTCTTGAGTTGAAATCCAGAGATATGGAATGGCCATGTTCCAAGAGTTCTTGGGTAGCCTGGAGAGTTAGCTGTCTGAAGCCCAAGTCTGCCTGACAGCTTGGTGGAAGTGGCCAAGCCTATGGACATTCAGTGCTCCTTTATGTGACACTTTCTACCCATCTCACCTGTCACACAATGCCATTGTGGTTTAGCAGCCAGAGTTTTCAGGAGGGATCCAACTTGTCCACTGAAAGTGATGATAAGAGTTAGTGGGAAGTTTCCTCATTTGGTCTAAGATTTCTTAACCATTACCCTGTGAGAAATAAACAGGAAATTTACTCTGACTTCAGTGACCAGTAAAGAAGTATCCTTACCTCAGATCTCATTAGATAATAGAGTCACATTGAAAAGTCTTGCTCCATCCCGTCCCCATTGATCCCATTTCCCCAGCTCCCCTCCCCCAGGTAATCGCTTGTTAAGCAAATATAAAAATATATTCTAATTTCCCCACACACACAAAATCTAGCACACTATATACACTATACCTTGCCTTTTTTTTTTTTAAGTTATATATCCTAAGAGATCTTGCCTCTCACTATATAGAAAATTTCTATGAAAATCGACATGTCATATTTTACTAATGGAAGCTTGGGATGTTTCTAATCTTGTTATTCCAAACAAAACTACAGTGAATAATTATAGACCTCTTTTCCTTACATCTCATTGTGCTTTTCACATTAAAATTGTATATTTTTCAAAATTGCTTTCTCACACACGCAATCTTAGAATAGAGGCCACTGCTTTTCCTTCTAGATTCAAATAGTCAACTCATTCATTTCTTGCCTTCATCATCTGTGGGACTGAGACATCCTAGAATTATTTTCAGCGACTTCCCGTTTGTGATAACTATGTAATTATCCTGAGTGGTTGATCTGGTGGATATCAGAACCCCATTTCAGTATGACTGAGTGAATACATCACAACGTGGTGGGTGCCAGCCAGAGGAAAGGTGATATGAGCTGCTTGGAAAAGGGAAGCGAGGGGAACTAATCCATACTGATTTTTAGGCGTTCCTTTTTTTTGACAAAATTTTTATTGTTTTTAAAGGTGGAGAGGAGGGTATGTGAAGGACAGTTTCCTAAAATGAGGAGGATGGTTAGGTTTTTTTGTTTTTAGGCATTCGTTTTTATAGGGTTATGGGATAAACCACAAATGCTTTCTGTAGGCCTAGTTATGGCAATTTTTTATCAGGTTTCATAATGATTTACAGAATGGTATGGCTACAACTAGAGCTCCTAAAATTGACACCATATTTTGTAGTAAGATGCTTATTATTATTAATTCTTAATTTGAAGCCTGGCCCTAAAACCATCAAATTGTGTCTCTAATCCCCAGAGAACAGTATGGCGGTTCTGCAGCATGGCTCTTGCCCGTTTACAGGCTGTAAGGAATACTTCTATAGCCACTGTGGACTCCTGGGTGTACTTCATTCTTAAAGGAGTTTACTTGTCTATAGCAACTTCCTGCAAATATATGGACAGAAGATCTCGAAGATACCTGGTGACATCTGGTTTTCTTTGTTGTCTGAAGTCTTTATCGTTGTTGCTTCTATTATTTAATGTTTCTCGGGAACTGGGGCTCACCTAATGTCATGATGTATAAAAACAGTCTTTGAGGAAAAAGAACTGGGAAATCCCATGCCACAGCAGACCTGTTTCTTCGAAATGTCTTTAATAATACCATTTAGTGCTCCATATCCCAGCCACCAGATACAACCGTTTGTGCACTGATGCCTCCATGATAATCAACAATAGAGGGTAGGAAGTGAGGTCAGGCATTTTGACCCTTGCATAGCAGTATGAGGCGTGTCTTGTGTCCTAAAACAAAGTCCACTTACACACGTTACTGTGTGCCGGCGAGTTGACTCCAATTCATAGCGACCCTTTGGGACAGAGTAGAACTGCCCCATAGGGTTTCCAAGGCTGTAATTGTTACAGAATCAGACTGCCACACCCTACTCCTGTAGAGAAACCACCGACCTTTTGGTTAGCAGTCGAGCGCTTAAACCACTGTGCCACTAGGGTTCCTACTTATTTATACATATCTATGTTGTCCCACAAACATCCCCAAGCAGAAACCAGGGTTAGGGAGTAGTCCCAAGAAAATTTAGGTTCCTAGGTTTTAGATGAGGCTTTCAGAGGTTGGTATTTTGAAACCACCTGCTCTAGTGTTTCTCAGCCGCTGTGCTGTGATGCATCAATTACTTCACCACATTGTCACAAACAGTTTGACTTCCCTCAAAATACTAACTTGACTGGGTCTATGTTCCAGTGGGGGCTTTGGGTAGTAAGAGCTTGACTCTAGGTTTTTGGAAGACAGCCGCTTTCCCTTCCGTACTGTTGAGTTAGTAATGAATCAACAACCCATGAGAGAAAGGACCGCGGAATCCCTGGGGAATGGCTTCACTGACCTCAAATCTTGGGCATTTTCATAGTACTGCTCTCCCCCTCACCCCTCTACTCCTGCCAAATATCTACATATGCTCTGGCAATAGGATGTAATTTTACCTAGAGCAGAGATGCTTTGTATAAATTTTGGACACTTTTCCAGGACTTTCACAGTCACTTTGAGTTTCTCTCTTTCCCAACTGGAGACAATCACTCTTGTGCAGTTTAAGTGATTTATTGATGTCAAATTGGTACCACTTCAGGACATTTCAGCCATCAAGGTCTTTCCAGGTCCTAAGAAGCCCTTTGCCTACCAGAGGGGTCATGCTACTTCCTTCTGTCCGCCAGTCTGTCCTCCCTAACCAGCCTCCTTTTTCTTTAACTCTTCCACTTTGGAAATATAGATCCTCATGGCGTCCAACTTGGTCATCCCTTTGTTCTCGTTCCACGCCTCCCATTTGGCTTTTGCTTTCACATCTGTAGCGGGTGGGGCAGGGATGTTGCAGTCGCCCTGGGTGGCCTGTTTGTAGAAGCTGTACACCAACAGTTTCTCTTGATCACTCACAGGACCTTTCAGCTCTTTGACAGCAGCGCAAGCCAGCTCAAACTCCACTTGGCCCATTGGTGTAGCTGAGGCCGGGCGCTTCTGTGCTTTTCTAGGTGGTATCCGGTGCTAGGAGATTCAGAGGGTGGAGAGTTAGAAACCCTTATTGATGATGAAGAAGAAGAGAAAGGGGAAGATGGAGCCGGGGTAGTGTGTGGGGAGAGCACAGGATATTTCCGTGTGTTTTCTCCGTGGAAAGTCAAACGTGTGTTTTTATAAAGTACAGATTGCAAACTGGCGGCACATAGGGTTGGATCTGTCACCCATTTGTTTCTTTTTGTTTTGTTTTGGCTCGCAGTCATTTTCTGGGGAGGACTACGCTTCCAATTTTTCAAAGGCATCCGGACCTAGAATTGAGGTCGGCTGTCCTAGGGCGGCAGTGTGGGATAAGAAGCGCCGGGGGCTTTTGTGTGTTTGTGAGACAGGGAGACCTGCTGTGGCGCAGGAAGCCCCTCATTGTATTGTGTGTTTATGCACGTTGGTGGGCAGCCTGGGGAGGGGCATCCAGTTTGAGTGGAACTGTGGGTGGGGGTGAATGTGGGGCCAGAGAGGGGGCCAATGAGTAGGCCGACTGGTATTCGGGTAGCCCAGCTGGGCAGGATACTGGACAGATGGGTGGCTGAGAAAAGCCTGGAAAGCGAGCGCGCCCGGGGTTGGGACCCGGGCCGGGGCGGGGCACGCAGCCGTGGGAGGAAGGCGTAGGTACCTGCTCGTGGGCCGGTGGGAGACCTCTGGCCGTTAGGGGGCGCCGCGGGCTAGTTGGTGGGAGCCGCGCGTGCGCACTGAACGGCGGCAAGGTGCGGTGATGCGGACTGGAGCGGGAGCTGAGACTGTGGGCGGGGACTGAGGCGCGGCCCATTGTACCGCCCTCCTGCCCCGCCCATTGTGGCGTGGCGCCTGCGCCGCACTCGCGGCCGTTGAGGGGGAGGGACGGCCCCGCGCCGCCGCCAGCGCTGCCGCCATGGACCTAGGTGGGTGTCGCAGCCCCAGAGTCCCGGGCCCGCCCGGACCACGTCCTGCAACGGGGAACTAGGGCGGTGCTGCTCGGCCCTCCCACTCCCGCTGCGCACGCTCGTGCGGCCCCCGGCCAGAAAACACCTCCGGATTGGGAAGAGGTCTTGGAGGGCGGGGGGGGGCCTTGGAAACCCAGGATGGGTTTAGCCCCGGCCTGGCTGCTGCTTGACACGTCTCTTGCCCTATCTGGGCTCGTTTCCAAGTGAAAAGCCAGGCGGATATGAAGTTAGATTTTCTGAAAGTGGAAAGGGTTAGTGCACGTGGTTTGGAAAATACGGGCTCGGAGGCCTCGGGGAACTCAGGGATGCCTTGACTGGCGCATTTATTGAACTAAGTTCTTGGGCAAGTTTCTTAACCCTCATCAGGTTTCCTCATGGATAAAATGGAGGTGATGATAATGTATCTACGCCAGAGTGTTTGAGAGTTTTGACACGTGTATACAGACAGTGTCGGGTACAGCGCCTTCCGCCCAGCAAGTGTTCATCAGATTTGTGGTGGTTGTGGGAGGGCTTGCAGCTGAGGTGGTACCTTTGAACCTGCATGCATCTTGATTAAGAGTCTTCTTAGGCATGGTTGGAAAAAGGTAGACGGAAGTAGATATAAATTGCTCGCCTCTTCTCAAGTCTCCCACCCTGCAGGATATGCTCTAAGGGGACAGTACTGTAGTAAGCTGTAGAAAAACTTTCTGGGCCCTGTTCCAGTCAGCCCTCCAGTGGTAGAATGGCAGAGCTTGAAGAGTTTGGAGCCCTGCAGCTGTGGTGGTTTCTGTCCCAGTCCCACCACTTTGCAGTTGTGACACCCTGGGTATATTAAGTGTTCCTGGGCCTTGGTGTTCCCATGTCTAAAACAGGAATAATCATCTTCAAAAAGCTGTTTGGAAGATTAAAAGATCTATGTGTATTGCCTAGCACAGTGCCTGGCACAATGTAAGCAGTTGATAACATAAAGGGTGCGCACTCCGAAGTACCAGCTGACCATTTGTGATAAAGCGTTTGGAAGTTACCCAGCTATTTACTGTTCTGGGGCTTACTCAGGTAGCCCACGTACATACTACTGACTCTGGCAGGCAAGTGTGTGGGAGCCAAAAATCAGCAGTAAGTAAATTTACAGAGCAATAAAATTAAATTTACAGAATCATAGGGACCATATTTTGCGACCCTGGGGGAGCATCCTGAGCCTTGGTTTCAGGGCTCCCCTCTGGGCAGGCAGCTACCAGAGTCACATTACAGCGCTGACTTTCCTCCTGAGCTTTAGGCCTGCGTTTCCCATTGCTGGAGGACACCTCTGTCTTAACGGTTTACCTCGCACTTCAAATAACCAAAACGGAACTTGTCTTCTCCTCTGTGGCCTGTTTCTAATGGTGCTCATTGGCCTTCCAGTTCCCAGGCTGGTCATTTTTTATTCTTCAGCTAAGTCTCACTCCAGCTCTGCAGTGGCTATTGTAACCATCTCTTCCTCTCCCCCTCTCACTGATCTCAGCTAAAACCCTTATCCTCTCTAACCCTGATAGTGACAGGCAGCCTAAGTGCTGTCTCTCCCTCTAACTTCTGCTTATTATTTTGAAACATTTTCACCACTTTATTTGGCCTCTTTCCATGCAGGACTTGTGAACATCTGTGAAGAAATGACTATTCTACATGGGGGCTTCTTGCTGGCTGAGCAGCTGTTCCGCCCCAAAGCACTGGCAGAATTGACCAAGTCCGACTGGGAACATGTTGGGCAGCCCATTGTGGAGGCCTTGAAGGAGATCTCGACCACAGCATGCTCCCAACCCTTTGCCTGGAAGAAGAAAGCTCTAATCATTATCTGGGCCAAAGTTCTTCAGCCCTACCCTGCCACTCCTTCTGACACTGAAACCCGGTGGCAGGAAGATGTGTTTTTCTCAGTAGGCAACATGCTCCCTACCATCAATCATACAATCCTTTTTGAGCTGCTCAAGTCCCTGGAAGCTTCTGGACTCTTTATCCAGCTCCTGATGGCCCTACCCACCACCATCTGCCATGTAGAACTAGAGCGCTTTTTGGAGCACATGACTATTGACACTTCCTCAAAGGATGTGGCCTTCTTCCTAGACATCTGGTGGGAAATGATGAAGCACAAGGGCAATCAGCAGGACCCCCTGCTCTCCCAGTTTAGGACAATGGCCCATAAGTACTTGTCCTCTTCAGATGAGTTCAGCCACCCTCCGAAGAGGTTCAAGTCAGACCCAGATGTGTGTCCTACCATGCCCCTGTTGGCCATGCTGCTCAATGGGCTGAAGCAAATCCAAAATAAAATCCTGTGTCCTGGAATGAAGTGCTGTGCATTAGCCAACTTGGCTGACATGCTGACGGTGTTTGCACTAGTGGAGGATGACCCCCAGGAAGTGTCTGCGACAGTGTATCTGGACAAACTGGCTACCGTGATTTCTGTGTGGAATTCGGACCCCGAGAACCCATACCACCAACAGGCGCTGACAGAGAAGGTAAAGGAGGCAGAGCGGGATGTCAGCCTGAACTCGCTGGCCAGGCTCCCAACTGAGACGCTCTTTGTTGGGTTTGAGTACATGCTTAGCCTGCTGCAGGAGTGGGGAGAGGAGCTGCAGACCATGCTCAACAGCAGCCAGGGGACAAATTATGATAGCTACCGGCTGTGTGACAGTCTCACTTCCTTCAGCCAGAATTTGAAGCTCTACCTGGATGACACCACCTTGTCTAAGGAAGAGAGGCAGGTGGTCTCTGAGTTGGCAGAGTGTGTCAAGGACTTCCTGAGGAAAACAAGCAGGGTGCTGAAGAACAAGGGTTTAGAGAAGGACATCACCGCCTCGATTGCCATGGCCATTATCGAGCAGAAGATGGACCGGCATATGGAAATGTGCTACGTTTTTGCCTCTGAGAAGAAGTGGGCCTTCTCGGATGAGTGGCTCACCTGCCTGGTTAATAACAGGGCTCTCTTCCGAGAGCCGGGCTTGGTGTTAAAGCTGTTGGAAACAGTGATGGAAGTCGGCACATCTGACAGAGTCATTCCTGAGTCTCAGATCAAACAAGTGGTTGACTTGATCCTGGAATGCTATGCAGACCTCTCGCTGCCAGATAAAAATAAAGTCCTCTCAGGAGTCCTGCATTCCTGGGGGCGAAAGGGCCTCTCTGAGAAGTTGCTGGCTTGCTTAGAGGGTTTTCAGGAAGACCTCAATACCACTTTTAACCAGCTCACACAGAGCGCTTCTGAACAGGGCTTGGCTAAAGCAGTGGCTTCTGTGGCGCGGCTGGTGATCCTGCACCCAGAAATCACGGTGAAGAAAATGTGCGGCATGGCTGTTGTCAATCTCGGCACCCATAAGTTCCTGGCTCAGATTCTCAGTGCCTTCCCCGCCCTCCGGTTCACTGAAGAGCAGGGGCCAAACGCACCCACCACATTTGTGGTGTCATGCCTCAAAGAAACTGTCTGGGGAAAGTTCTCAACACCCAAGGAAGAAAAGCAATTTTTGGAGTTCCTGAGCTGCCTGATGAGTCCTGTGAAGCCCCAGGGGATTCCAGTCGCTGCTCTTCTTGAGCCAGATGAGGTGCTAAAGGAATTTGTCCTGCCTTTCTTGATGCTAGATGTTGAAGAGGTTGACCTCAGCCTGAAGATCTTCATCCAGACTCTGGAAGCAAACGCGGGCTTAGAGGAGTACTGGCTCCAGACCTGCTCCCCGTTCCCCCTCATTTTCAGTTTGTGCCAGCTCCTGGATTGCTACAGCAGATACTGGCAGCTCCCCAAGGAACAGCGGTGCCTCTCTTTGGACGGGAAGGATGTGGTGATCCATATCCTGGCACTCCTCTGTGAGATTGTGTTAGCTAATGCAGAGACCTTCTCCCCTGACACCTGGACCAAGTCCTTGTCCTGGCTCCACCGGAAGTTGGAGCAGCTAGACTGGACTGTGGGCCTGAGACTGAAGAATTTCTTTGAGGGCCACTTCAAGTGTGAGGTGCCAGCCACACTTTTCGAGATCTGTAAGCTTTCTGAGGGTGAGTGGACCTCCCAGGCCCACCCAGGGTATGGGCCAGGCACAGGACTTCTGGCCTGGATGGAGTGCTGCTGTATTTCTAGCAGCATCTGTGAGCAGATGCTCTCCCTCTTAGTGGTAGATGTGAGCAATCCAGAGGAGGTCAGACTGTTCAGCAAGGGCTTTCTGGTGGCCCTCGTGCAAGTCATGCCTTGGTGCAGTCCCCAGGAGTGGCAGTACCTTCACCAGCTGACCAGGAGACTGTTGGAGAAACAGCTGCTACATGTCCCGTACAGCCTGGAATATATTCAGTTTGTTCCCCTGCTCAACCTGAAGCCCTTTGCCCAGGAGCTCCAACTCTCCGTACTCTCCCTGAGAGTTTTCCAGTTTCTCTGCAGCCAGAGTTGTCGTAATTGGCTTCCTATAGATGGCTGGAGCCACGTGGTCAAGCTCCTCTGTAGCAGTCTGACCAACCTCCTGGACTCAGTTAGGTTGATACAGTCAGTGAGCCCTTGGACTCAAGGACAAGAACAGGATCTGACCCAGGAAGCCCTGTTTGTTTATACCCAGGTATTCTGTCATGTTCTGCACATCATGGCCATGCTCCACCAAGAGGTGTGTGAACCACTCTATGTTTTGGCCTTGGAAATCCTCACTTGCTATGAAACCCTGAGCAAGGCCAATCCTTCTGTTAGTTCTTTGCTCCAGAAGGTGAATGAGCAGCGCTTCTTAAAGTCCATAGCTGAGAACATTAGCCCGGAGGAACGGCGCCACACCCTGCTGCAGAAGATCAGCAACTTCTGACCTTTGCAGATCAGAAAAAAGCTGGGCCTCGGTCGGGTGGGTCTGTAGGGGCTAGAGCTGAGAAGCACAAACTTTACAATGTGACACTGTAGACAAGATAAAAAGTATATGGCAATAACAGTGTAAAGAAAATAGTTTCTTAGTTATTTGTAACGAATTATAATAAAATTCTCCTCTATTGAGTTCGTCTTGTTTCTCAGTCTTCCTCATTGGCTAGTCTAAGCCTCTGAAGTTGGGCCCAACTTGAGTCTCACCCTACCCATTGCCATCAAGTCGACTCCAACTCATGGTAACCCCATGTGTTACAGAGTAGAACTGCTTCATTGGGTTTTCTTGGCTTTAATCTTTATGGAAGCAGATTGCCAGGCCTTTCTTTTGCAGTGCCACTGGGCGGGTTTGAACCACCCACCTTTGTCAAGCCCAAATCATTTGCACCACCCACGGACCTTTCTCCACCCTAGAATTTGGCATATAAACCTAAAGGTGAAACCACCCAAGTGGGAAAAAAATTACAGGGAATGTGTGTTCTTGTACATTGAGTCCTTCGAGTGTCATTTTAGTATTTTTCCTGTGGTATCTTAGAAAGGGCAGCAACTTGGAAAAGCCCTGGCTCTGCCACCAATTGGCCATGTGGTTTGTGTGCCTGAGAGGCCAACACCATTGTAAAATGAGGATTGGACCAAGAAAAATTGAGCCTTAAGGGGTAGATTAATAACCTCAAGAAAATGAGTGTCTTCTGAATCGAGGATTTCTAACTGCATACCGTCTAACTCCATGGATCCAGAAGGGGCTGTCCTAAAACTAGGTTTGATAAACACAGTTGAAATGTATTTAAAGAATGGGTGTAACTGTTTTCTGCCTAGGGTGGGGCTGTCATGGTTTTGAAGAAAGTGGGAATAGGGAATGATATGTGCAGAAGCCTAAAAATGAATTTAAGGTGTTCAGGGTGTATTACACAACTATGGGAACTGGTTGGCAAGATGTTTAATTTGGAAGACAAGGGAGGGAAAAGGATATGCCCCATTATCTCCTTCATACCTACACCTTCATTTGAAATGGGACGTTGCTCAGGTTCCCTCCCCCACCTAAAGTGGGCTGGCTCTGGCCAACAATTGAGTGTTCACCCTCCCAACTTGTGGGCTCAAATTCTGAGGACCTTCAATGTGATCTTGGAACCATGAACTGAAAACATGTTTGATTAAGGTATGAGTTTGGCCCTCCTGGAGGCTGAAAGCACCCTCTTCTTCCCCATCTCTGCCAGGTTCATGGACATAAACACAGGCCAGAAGATAGAGCAGCCCCTTGTCAGGTCACAGGATGGTTCTCACAGGAAGTCAGTATTGATGTATTTGACAAATGAGAGTAAGCTGGGAAATATTAGTGCAATTTAATCACCATAGGGGTGATTTTATAAAGATCTGATAGTAAACAAAAATGACAGCATTTTACATTTTTTAAATGGCACCATTAACAACTGAAACAGTCAAAATTTGAGACAGTTACATATTCAGTACTTTAAAAGTTCATGGACAACAATGAATTAAGACACTTTAAAAATTCTATTTTTCTCTACCACTTGAAAAAAACTTAATGGTAGCAGTTTCTAAAACCCATCCTAGTTGATAAGGAATGATTAGTGTTGGCACCAGAGGATCCTATTTGCAAATGGTGGGTGAAGGGCAACATGTGACTCCTTAGGAAGGAGTCAGTCTACAGGACACTTTGGCCAGGGCAGTGTGCACTCCTGCGCTCCAGCCTTCTGTGGTTAAAAGGCAGGTACACTTATACAGGAATGGGCTTTGGATCACAAGCTCTGGCTTATCAGGAGACCCTGTGGAAAGCACTGTGCAGTCTTGAAGAGACATCTCATGGTTTGGAGTATATAAGTCTATTTCCATTTCATATGAAAAGGACAGTGTTAAAGAGTGGCATTACTCAGTAAGCGGCTACTGAAGCCATCATTCCACCTGCCCCTAAACTTTATGAGAGTCTTATGTGGATATGGGGAGAGCGGGCCTGAGGGGACACACTGAAAAGGGAGTATTTCTGACTGTTTGTAACAAGCTCACAAGTTTGACAGTGGTCATCTTACCAAGTCAACCCATAAAGGTAGTGCTGACCATTTGGCACCCCTACCTATCAAGTGCTTCAGGTTCCCATCCCTGCCCACCTACCCTGCCACCCCCACCCCAGTAAGACTTCTGACTAGAAGTCAGTAGACATGAGACTTCAATGTTGGCACATGGATAAGCGGATGAGGCAAAGGACCAATGGGTCATCACCTTAGTAAACAATAAAAACTGCCTACCCACAATGATTTTTCCAGGCCAACGTCGCAAAAAAGACATTACTTCAAGAACCAAGTCACTGTTGCTTCTGCTGGCCCAGTACGTATGTGTGGATACTTGCCCTGAGTGGTTGGTTGTATAGGTGGGAGGCTGGCACCAATACGTAGGGCCAGGCGGGTGTCCAGACACTTAACACCCTAGTCCACCTACTCTACACTCCATGATTCTACCTCCCAGAGCCCTTGAGATGAGACCCAAGGAAGAACCCTCGAGCTTGCATAAAGCTACCTTGCTGCCAGTGGAGGTCTGACAGGATCCAATAGTTGTTACTAAGAAAAAGGTGCTTTTGCAAAAGGGGCAGGTTAGAACAGGGAGGTAATATGAACATTCTTTAGAAAAACTCAAACCCATCTTCTTATGAATACTCAAAAGGCTGAGGCCATCCAGGGCACAATCTGGTCCATGGAATACTGGGTGGAGAAGGCAGGTAGTGCGAGGAGGCACTGTCACTGCCCGACTCCTGGGAGCACTTAACCATCCTTTTTGGCTTGGGGAGCACCAAAGAGCCGGGCTGCCTTCTTGCACAGCAGCGAGAACCAGTAGATCTGGGGAGCGATGAGGACAGCATTGGCCACATTGCAATGGAAAGGGATGTGGAATGGCACTTGGAACAGGCTTAGTCCCTGGTGTTGGCCATACGACCAGTACATGAAGGGGAAAAGAAGGATCCGACAGGAAAGGAAGGTGGCCAGGGTGAGGACTCCATTCACCTTGTACAGAAGGGTGTGCTGCTGCTTTAGCTGCAAAAGAAGAGGGGAGGAGAATGCAGTCACCACGAGGTTGGGCACCAGGGAATGACTAGCCACTCCTTGTTCTGCCCAAGTTCCACAACAATAAAGGCCAGGCAGGTAACATGTACTAAGTAAGACCTGTTGTTGCTGGCTGCCTTTGAGTTGGCCCCCGACTTGTGGAGACCCTATGTACGACAGGATCAGACCATTGTGATCCACTGGGTTTTCACTGGCTGATTTTCAGAAGTAGATGACCAGGCTTTTCTTCCTAGACTGTCTTAGAGTAGAAGCTCTGCTGAAACCTGTTCAGCATCAGAGCAACATGAAAGCCTCCACTGACAGACGGGTGGTGACTGTGCATGAGGCGCGCTCGCCAGGAATGGAACCTGGGTCTCCTGCATGGAAGGTGAGTATTCTACCACTGTTAAATTCTTTAACACCTAGACATGCATCGAGTTCTCTGAGACTTGTAGAAAAGATTGTTGAGCGCTGCCATATTTATGCAGGCATGTAGCCTTGTAGTTTTCCCAATAGTGATGTTGAATTTGGTGTAAGCCACTCAGCTGACTGGAGTACGGAAATAGGTTAGAGAAAACAATCTTTGGCCAGGAAAGAATATATAATGAACTGTAGCAACTTGGATTAAACCTACGATTTCATTCCGCACTGGCTCAGATGACCTATTGACCCTTAAGTCTGCTGAAAGTTCTCCTATCCCACTATTCCTAGCACTTAGGGATTTCTCCAAACCCACAATCCACAAAGGAAAAGCAGAGTCAGTTCCCTCCCACACTATTCCTGCCACTTCATTCATACATGCCTGAATCAGAACTCTGCCCAGTGACACAAATGGAGTACTCAGCTCTGCTGTGAAGATGCAGCCAACAAAGAAGTCCCCCAGGTCTCCCCTAAGTCTCTGCAGAGGAAAAGGGAAATAAGAAATGGAGGTTAAGAGACCACCAGAAGGAAAATTCTAACTAGGACTACTGAAAAGGGTAACCATGAGAGATCATGATGGGAAAGGGAAATGCTAAATGGGCAAGTGGAGACCCAGTTAATATTCTGCTCTTCCGTCACAATAGCATTTTGATGGTTGGATGGATGCCTACGATCCAGAGGCAAATTCAGATAAGCTGATTGCATCACACACCACACTTTCTCTGAATTTCAATGAAAGCAGGGAGTCTACAGCCTACTTTTGGGTACCTTGTCTTAGAAGAAGTACAACCAGAATGCTCCTTAGAAGCAAGGATGGCAAGACTATGTCTTACATACTTTGGACGTGTTGACAGAAGAGATCAGTCCCTGGAGAAGGACATCATGCTTGGTAAAGTAAAAGGTCAGCAAGAAAGAGGAAGACCCTCAATGAGATGGATTGACACAGTGGCTGCAACAATGGGCTCAAGCACAACAACGATTGTGAGGATGGCACAGGACTGGGCCGTGTTTCATTCTATTGTTCAAAGGGTCACTATGAGTCGGAACCAACTTGACGGCACCTAACAACAACAACTTAGTCGCGCCAAGGGCACTGGGCCAGTTCAGTTCAACAAAATGTGTGCCGGGCCCTGACCTAGATGTTAGGGTCCCAATGCAATCAAGAGAGTCTTCTTAAAAAACTTAATGTACTCTGCCTCTCCTTTGTCTCTTTCAAGAAGGCAGTGTAGCACAGGAGACTACCAGCTCTGCCACTTAATACCACTGAGTGAGGTAAGTAAATTCTTGGAGCCCCAGTTTCTTCATCTATGTTATAAAACCAAAAAACCAAGCCTGTTGCCGTCGAGCTGATTCTGACTCATGGCGGCCCCATGTGTTACATAGTAGAACTGCTCCATAGGATTTTCTTGACTATAATCTTTACAGAAGCAGATCGCCAGGGCTCTCTTCCATGGCACTGCTGGGTGCGTTTGAACCCCCAATCTTTAGGCTAGTAGTTGAGCACAAACTGTCTGGGCCACCCAGAGACCTCATCTTTGGTACAGGGCCAATAATTTCTAATATTTAGAAACTATGAGCTTTTAAATCAAGGGCCTGGCATATGGCACTCAGAAATTATTAGTTTCCCCTCTGCATTCCCATTTCTTGGGATCTGTTGAGTGGGTTTTCATGGGAAAATGGATCTGGGGAGAAATTATGAGGCTAGTTGCTTTGAGGACATGTTTTTTGTGACATCAAAATAATGCATACAATACTCTCTGGCACTGTTAGAACAAATAACTAGTTGATTGAGTTACTCTCATTTTTAAAAATATTGTTTTGTATTGTATTTGTATTTTATACTGTTTTTCTACTGTATGAACTAAAGTCAGAACATTTGCAAATACTATGAGTCAGAATCGACTTGACAGCAATGAGTTTTTCTTTCAATGGGTTTGTGGGATTGCTAGAAAGAATGATATTGATTATAACAATGACAAAAAGAAACAGTAGTTGCTGAGGCTGCTTGTGTACAACCAAACACCTCATGGGATTTGGTTCCTTGGTTTGGAAGTTTAGTGTCATAGTTTCATGGGACATCCCAGTTAACTGCCCTAATAATGTGTTTAGTGTTTCTGTTCTACCTCCTAGTTTGTTGTATAGTGCCTGGGAACTTATAAGCTTGCAAGTAGCCATCCAAGGCACAACAGTTGGTCTCTATTCACCTGGAGTAACAAAGGAAGAAGGGGTCAGAAATAGGAGGAGGATATGGAATGTGTGGCTAATTGCCTTCATGAACAACTGCATCTTTTGCCATAAGACCATAAAAACTGGATAGTGCCCTGCTACCATTACTGAACATTTTGATCAAAGATTCCATAGAAG